CATGAAGTAGCATGTCATCACTAATATCATCTACCTGCACATGCCCTCTTGGGCCCCAAGCTAATGCCTTTAGTTGACAAAATAAATATTCCACGATAACACATTTGATTTTGGGCCCCAAGCTAATGCCTTTAGTTCATTATTATTTGATACCTCGTTTCTAGGGTCATTAACCTATAATAAGCAAAATGTGTAGATTTGAATAATTGAATGAAATAGTTATCTATGAAATATCAACTAAAGAGGTAAGCACTACAAAAAAAACCTACATAAGCCTTAAACGACTCTGGAATCTCAGAATGTAGTCGACGAGCACCATCCCTGTGTTTTGTAAAGAAATACTACAAAGAAGATAATATGTTCAATTAGAAAAAACCATTAAAATTCCACTCTTGCGTATGAATTATAGAGTATAATACTCACTCCAAGAAAGTTTTGACTTCATTACAATTGATGAGTATGTGAACACGAGCCGAATTCCATTCCTTATCAGTTAGCCAATGTCTGAGGTTTCCCACTAGGATGACCTCCATTCATACATATCGAAAGAGATGAACTCGAGGCAAAATCGTTCATAGGGTCATTTCTAAGACCCAAACTTGAGGTTAGGTTAAATGTTTTAAAGTCGTGAGAACAAAATGAAGTTATCTCAGGACATAAATAGTCAGAGCTAATAGATCCCTCCACTTTTGCTTTTTGTGTAATTGCTCTCTTGTACATGCCCATCATCCTAGACATGTGAATATAATATAATAAATATATAAGTCTCAATGCAATGCAAGAGGCTTATTACATACTCCCTCTGTCCCTTTAAATATGGGATGTTTTGATTTTGAAGAGATTTAAGGGAAGTGTATTTTGGTATTGAATTTCCAAAAATGTCCTTTAATGTGATGGGTAAAAATAGGATTTGATGGGTGGATTATTAGTAAAAAGGTATGATGTGATATGTAGGGTATGAAAAAGTAAGGGGTAAAAGTGACTTCTTAATAGAAATAAGAAAAGTTTTTTGGGACGGATGAAAAAAGAAAGGAGAAAGGTTTTCAGGGACCGAGTGAGTATTTTGTAAAAAATTAATGTCATACCTTTCAAATATATACATCCATCGATATTGAACCAGACCACCCAAGCGTGCTTCTCTAGGTAGATGGATCACAAGATGCTCCATCGAATAAAAAAGCTGGTGGGAAGATGCGCTCTAACTTACATAGAAGGATTGGAATGTTCGACTCCATTCTTTCTAAGTCTCCCACTTTTAGTGAGTTGCAGCATGTCTTTGAAGAATTCGCTTAACTCAGTAAGTAATTTCCATACAGAATCAGGTAAACTCTTAAATGCTATTGGAATTAAATTTTGCATGAATACATGACAATCATGACTCTTCATTCTATGCATCGTCCCTTTGGTCACATCAGCACACCGAGCAAGGTTAGATGCATATCCATCTGGCATTTTTAACCCTTACCCATTAACAAACTTTTTTTTCCTCAGCATGAGTGAGTGTATACTTTGCTTTTGGCATACAAAATTTTCCACTTAGTAATTCTTTCAATTCTAGGTCCCCACGTGCGCAGACACTATGTATATCCATCCTTGCCCTTTCATTATCTTTTGTTCTTCCTTTGACATTCATTACAGTATTAAAGATATCGTCAAAGACATTCTTCTATATATGCATTACATCCAAGTTGTGCCTCAAAAGATTATCTTTCCAGTACAAAAGATCCCTAAAGATACTTCTTTTGGTCCAATTGTAAGTGGACCAAAATCCCGGAATCTTTATATGCACTAACTCATTTACTATAGGGAAATATTTTACACATTGCCAAACAATATCTCCTTCCAAAATCCGCGGCGGTCCTTCTTTCTCTTCTTTGTTTCTCCGAAATCCATTCTTACTCCTTCTAAATGAATGGTTTGTACCGAAGAATCGTCGATGACAATCAAATCAAGAATGTTTTCGACCATAAAGATTTTGTATCTTCCATACAATATGGACACGCTAATCTACCATGCGTGCTCCAGCCAGACAACATTCCGTAAGCTGGAAAGTCGTTAATAGTCCACATTAGACAAGCCCTCATTATAAATTTCTGCGTTGTTGATATGTCATAAGTAAGTACTCCACGAACCCACAAATCCTGATGTTCATCAATCATGGGAGGCAAAAAAACATCAATTCTTACATTAGGATTCTTTGGACCTGGAACTAGGGCTGTTCATCGGTCAAGAACCGGACCGACTCGACCCGGACTGGACTAGACCGAAGACCGATTCAATTAAAATAAAGGACTGAAGACCAGACCAAAATGTACTCGGTTTTAGACCGGACCGAACCAAAATGTTAGAGACCGAACCGGTATAAACCGAATGGACCAAACCCAAACTTTAAAAAATCTTTTATTAAATAGAGTAGTCTCTATATTACAAAGGAGAAAAGTGGCAGAACCACTGGAAGTCCCTTTGATTTGGTTTTTATAAAGGAAACAATGGCATTCCCTAAAACAATGAAATTTTGGTGATGATGTTCACCACCATGCTCCAAAATATTTACCGCATGGCAAAATAGACTTACAGGGAAACAAGATGAACAATACAAGAATTCAAAGATTTTTAGGAGATCAATACTTGTTTATTGAATCACAGATTCAATTGTATGAAATGAAAGGTCCCTGAAATTCGATTAACATACCAAAAAACTCGAGCAAAATGAACTTGATAACCTGGTCAATTGAAGATGCAAAGTGCCGTGATGAACAGTGAAACCTCGAACAGATTTCTCCAGATTCTACCCAAAAGTGACCTTCCATAGTAGCAAAGGGCTCAAATTCTTGAAACACTGCTGATGGTGTAAATATAGCGGGGTGGGTTAACCGGGTTTGACCTGGACACACTCGACCCGTAATATAAAACACACAACAAGAACACAAAGTATGACCTAGACCGGGTAAATCTCCTCAGTCCGAATTATATTTCTTACTCTATCTCAAGAGTGAACTTTAGTGAGAGAAAAATTGGATCCCCTCCTCTATCCAATATCATCATATTTATAGAGGAGGATTTGTGACCTTCCCCTGTTCATCCATGGACAAAATAGGAAGCTCGTGGGAAGGTCACTGTAGATAATGGGAACACTGTACAATCATAGAATTTAGCAACTATAAGCCAAGACATGTACTGTTCAATCAAAGACTAAAATGGATATTCTCAATCCAATCAACCCTGCAAAATGACAAACATCCCTTTCACTGTGTGCCTCGTGATGGATGAGCGGCGGGGTGTCCCCTTGACCTCTGACGTGGTTCACCATGCCTAAGAGACTGAACCAATGTTAGCCAAGTAAAGTGATATGACCGGTCACCTTCTCTCAAAAGTTACCCGGTC